TATCTTTCTATCTGTTGTAAAGGGAGGACATTGCTAGTCCTCACGACTTATTTTGTTAACATTGAGCTTTAGGACTAAGCTTTGGGTTTAGTTTAGGGTTAGAATGAGGTATGCAGCGATAATGGGTGTGTTTTAGGGTCATTGTGAGGGTTAGGGCAAAGGAAGGGTTAAAAATGATAAAAAAAAAATAAATGGGAGTCAACACATGGTCCTCACTACATATAACAACACGAGAATGTATGTGTGTGTATGTGTACTTGTTTATTTGACATATTTAGGACCATTTTCGGTATATTTCCTGACCTTCTGAGGACCAACAGGCCCTATTAGGACCTGATGTTCCTCAAAAGGCTGGTCCTAATTGACGGACTCCCATTTCTAAACCTCACAGAGTCAGTTTACAGGTATAGTTTGAATTAACTTTGAGTTAAGGTTAGAGTTAGGAATATACTAAAAATGCTTAGGGTAAATTTCAGGGTTAGGCATAAATACGATAAATAAAATAATTGTAAGTCAATGTAAAGTCTTAATATGGTTAGAATTAAAAATGTGTGTTGGAGTTGAATTCGCTCTATATAAATAAACTGAGTAGAATTGAATGGAATTAAATTGGGTGCCTTGTATGTCTTACATTGTGGGGACTAACTGCTCTCATGGGGCCAATGGCTGCTCCCCATGGGTACACATGCTGTTATATTATTATCAGAATCAGAATTACTTTATTAATCCCTTGTGGGAAATTCTTTTCTTGCAGGGTAACCATTCATAGAAGAGAGAACAATAAGATTGTAAGTACAATAGAGCAAAGTAAAATTTAATAAGACAGAATAAAATAAGAAAATTGCAACCCATACAGTAAAATTACACCCTTTCCATCTAAACAGTGTAAAATAAGATATAGGAATAAAAAAAGATAAGGAAAATAATACAATAAGATAAGCATCTTTTATATAAAATCAACAGTATTTACAATTTACAATGCTGATCAGTACCTAAATGACTATTATTGCACATGGCTGCATTATTGCACATAGGGAAGTAACGAAATACGTAAATAATAAGTAATTAAATGAAATGACTGTCAGACAGATGAATTATACAGTTTAATGCATGGGCGTAGGTTTGCATAGGGACCATAGGGACATGTCCCTACCAAATTTTTGGACCAACCTACTTGTCCCTACCAATAATTTGATGTGAACGACATGTTTATACTTTACAGCAGTAGTTGTTGCAGCAGTGACTTCTTTTCCTCTCGCAGCTACAGGTAGAGGAAAGACCAGGCAGCTGCAGCTACCAGACAGAGGAGCTGCAAGATAAAATACATGAAAAGGGCTACACAGAGTAACTACAGCCCATATGTACAACTTGTATAGTGAAGTTAAGTTGCACATGTAAATACAATACATTTATTTGCCCTCCATTGAATGTATTTTTTTGCATGATACAGAGAGAACATTAAAAAATTAAGATTAAAAAAAT